ACACCGCAAGGAGTACAAACATGTACCTTTCCTGGGATTACTGTCCTCTAGGGACCAAAATAACTGGTGGAAATACAAGTACCAGGAAGATCTAAGTAAAGAACCTAATAAGATACTCTGAATTTGAATCTTAAACATTTTTTCCATGCCGTGCTGTAGAAATACAATGGAAGTAGAATTGGCAAATACCATCCATATGCTACACCACAAAATGACTGACAGAACACAATGTGAACATTACTTCTGGACTGAATCAAGAGAACGCATTAAAAAAATGCATAAACGGAATACTGATACACATTAACTCAATCTTCTCTTATTATGGAATTAAAAAACTTATACCTGTAATTATGGCTTACCCCCATTACAAGCAGAGCTGCCACAGAACTGAACACAGGCCAGCTCTGTACATGAGTTCAAAGCCAGTGTGATGTTGCCTTATTTTCTTACTAACATCATCTTTATCCTCTCTTGCCCTTCTTCTCAGTTAACAAGAGTTATGTACTGAAAGTGCTGAGATAAAGTAATGGTAAGGAGGATACCGCAAAAGGTATTCGAAAAGAAGAAGTAATTTACTACACGTCTGCTTTGTTTTACTTCCTAAGCCTTCCTATTGTGAAAGGAAATTCATCTTTTCTGGCAGACTCCAGCCTTTTTAGGCCCGAGAGCTCCCCGGGAGCTTTCGAGTGCAGGTAAATGGATGTGATACTCAAGGAGTACAGTACAAGAAACATGGAATTAATGTTGGTTTTTGCTTTGGCTGTCACGTCTGACGTATAAGGAGAGTGCTATATCCTTGCTTGCAAGAAGTATCGAGATGTGAAAAACACAAGGCTGAGTCCTCTGCTCATTACTGTGGGTCTGAAATGCCATGAATGGAAAGGTCACGTTGCTGGTGGGTGCAGCATGTAGGATCTGCACCCAGCAAAGTCTCCACGTGAGACAGATGTCAGGGTGCTCCGAGCCCCAGGGACCCGGGATGCAAAAGCGCAGAGGAGAGACTGTGGACGGACAATAGGTGCAGCCCGGATTCTGCATGCAGCGGAGACCCCAAGAGTAGGCACAGGGGAAGCATCCACTGCCTAATCTAAATAGCACACAGAGTGGTTTTGTCCTCTTCTGTTCTCCTGCCAGTTTGCACATATGTTCCGAGTATACAGCCTGCCCTCCAAAGACCACTTACAGGGGCAATCACAGGGAAGCAAAGCAGGAAGAAAGTATCCAAAAAGGGAATTTGTTCAAGAGAAAAAAATGGAGACAGATGTAGAGCGACTAGTCACGGCTGGCGGTAAATAACCCTCTGCCTGGAGTGCTCTCTTTCTCTAAGAGGAGTTCACATATTCCATTTCATATTTCCTTTCTAGGAAGTCAAACCTTTGTTTTCCTGGCATTTGTTCTTTTTTTTTTTTTTTTTTCTTTCCCCTATATACTTTTTCCCTTCTGTATGGTCTAAAATGGTCTTCTAATTTTCCCCTTCTCTTCTGCGTTGTGCTCTCTTTCACGCGTGACATTTTTCCAGTCTCCCTCTCACGCAGACCTAATTTCCCTGCACTGTCCCAGGCAACACCTTTCGCTACAATCCTCTCGTAGTCTCTGTGCCACGAGCACTTCCCTCTGTCTCTACGTGTGCATAAGCACACGGGTGCTTCACACCTGCTCCTGCGTTACAGTCCCCACTTTTTCTCATGTGCACACCTCAGAATTAAGCAAATGCAACACACACAGAATATTCATCCTCTCGCTCCCATAAACCTGTCAAGGCATATAGGCCAAGAAGCTATCTCTGCATAAATCTAAATCTCCTGCGAGGAAGCAATCTACTCAAAGGCAATAAAGCCAAAGGATATATTATTATCTTTGGTGTGGATCCTACTGGGCTGGGAGGCTGGCTGCTGGCTCCCCTCTGAACTTTCCTTCCCAGCCAGAACAGCCATCCCGCAGACAAGTCTGAGCTTCCTTTCCTTGGTCTGATTTCCTCCTCCCGTTGTTTGGCCGGTAACCCAAAGGACAGGGTTTAATTATGGAGTTTGGAAACCTGGCTTACGCTACTCTGCCAGCACAGGATAAAACTGCAGCCTGCCTTCCGAACCAGCGTCATGCTGCACCGTTGATACCTGCATTATCCCACGCAGTATAAAATGAACCACAGGGAAGAAATGCCAAGTCAAACAAAAAGACGGTTTTAGTCTTAAAACTTGTACTGCGAATTTCACTGAGAAAAAAAAACAAAACACTGAAGCTCAGAGATTACTGTATGTTAAAACTGTGCCATCATTTTGACTGTAGATTAAATAAATAGCAAGGCCTTTTTCTGGGCCGGAGAGACATCAGAAAGGATGGATGTGAAACAAGTCCAGGCTCCAAAGCTCCCCTCTCAAAGAGGAACGCTGCGGCAAGCCACTGGGTAATACGGGATGTTAACATCACTTGCACGGCTTTCAGATGACCAATATATTTTCTAGGCAGATGCCCCATTGAAGACTCATAAAACATTTTACACTTCTGGAGATAAAGCACCCATGTCAAATACAAAGGGCCAGACGTTAATATCAGACCCAGGTGTGATTTCTGAGGTAAGGCAGGGCACTGTGCACAGACCACAGCAAGGATGCGTCCCTCAGGGGGGAGCACCTCGTTCCAGTGACATACCACTGTTGCCCTGGCACGGAAGGACACCTCACTACTGTTTTGTCCTTCACTGCTGATGTGCTGTGGCTCTTTAGGCAATCTCTCTGCCAGCCGTGCTCTTGCAGTGACCCTGTTTGACAGAGAAGCTGAGGCAATGAATTCAGAGGACAGGCTGCTGGAAAGCCACGGCAGAAGTACTGGGGTGGGGCTGCGTGTATATAGCATAAAGATGGTTTGAAAGTGCATCCCACGCAGGCAGGATAAAGCTCTTTTTCTTCATAGCTGTGACAGTGATAGATAGCTTGGTGAATCTGAGCTATATCTAGTTGGTACCTGGCTTGAGTCCCTGATGTTGCAAGGTGATTTTCTGCCATTTTACAGGCAAGACTAAGCAGGATCTGGGATTTTTCTGTAGCAAGCTAGGAAGGTCATGAAGAAGGAAGAACCTTCTCTTCTCTGACTTGTTCTTGCCTTTCTGAGCACCTCAGGGAGTTTGACATGGGCAGTTGTGCTTCTTCATGATGGGCACCCAGCGGTGCCAAGAGTGGCGGAGGTGCTTTGGCGGTGTAAGGCTTTAGGTACTGCTCTTGTCCGGCTCAGCAGCTCAGTGCCACCATCCAGTAAGGACTTGGATGAGACAGAGGGAATGACCACATGTGGGGAAAACCACCAGAAGTGACAGCAAAATTAATATCCAACCTCTGGCTGTTGCACAAATGGAGAACATTTGTCATTAACAGGGAGTACCCCAAACTTTGGGAGGAGTTAGCCCCCAGTCTGACAATGATGTAGAAGCAGTGACCCAGTCAGCTTTTAGCCATCTGTGTCTGCAGAGGAGGTTGTGATCTCTCCCTTTCAATGGGCACTGAGCTTTTGTTCGTGTTTTTGCCGCTCCGTGAGCAGACCAGTTTAGTACAAGGTGAAGCTCTGCCTTACATCATCTGGAGCCTGGAGCTGATGGAGGAAACAGCCCCTAGTGTCTACTGAGCAGGACACCTCACTGAAAACACCAGAGCCCTGGGGACGGCAGCGGCAAGGCAGTCACGGGGAGCCTGGCACTTGTCTGCCTGCAGGTCCACCCTCTCCTCCTGCCAAAGTGCCACATCTGCAGTCAATAAGGGCCCACAAGCTGGCTCCTCCTCATTAGAGGAGAGAGGGCAGCTGGCAGGGGATCCTCCAAGGGCTCCCAGGCACGGGAATCAGTCCCCTCCCAGTCTGGAATAGCCCAAATTTGGTGACTTTCTGGGCATGCTGTAAAGGACAGCTGTTTGACAGGGTCTCCAGAGAAAGCTGAGGGTATGTTTCCTACATGATGAAGGATATAGGTGGCTGGCCAAGTGCCCACAGAACTGATTTTAATGCTGTTCAGGTTGAATTTACTTTTCTGTGCTGTATAGTTCATTATACAAAGTGCCCTGGACAAACATATGTTGTTTCAAAACAAACCAAAACCATACTATTTTAAAGCCAAACAAACAAGAAAAAAAAAAAAGTATTGCAAAAGATCCTTTGGGCTGTTTAGAGGGCCTTCTCAAACACTGGGAGGCTGAAGATGAAAGCACTGCTTGCCTTCATCTGACAAATAAGACTCCTGTTATTTTTATTGGCAATAAATATTGAATATTTAGCTGTAAGCAAAACTGAGGCATCAACTTCACCTACGCACGTAGCACTGACCCAGAAAAATATTTTCAACAGTATTAAGCACCCAGATGACTTCAAGATAAGTGATCAATGGACAGTTAAGTATGTAACATAACATAACCCAAAAGATGATCAACAAGAAAGATCACACACAAAAATTAACTGAGAAAAGGCAGAAGAGCTGCTTCCTAAACCTTGTAAAGTGTAACACCCAGTGATATCTGATATGAAGCCTCCAATCACACTTCATGGTATTACAGAGTAATAAAACAACTCCTTCTTTAAGTCTCTTAATGACTCTCAGAAGTCATTACCAAGTGAGCTCAAGTGTTGTATAATGCTTGAAAAGTCCTGCTACCTTATATAAATTTAGGGCCATTTATTTAAACAGTACAACTATAGGGCACAGCCCAGGCAGGTCCTAAGCGATTGTCACCGCTATCCCAAAATTGAATCTGGATGTTTTGACAGAAAAAGACTGCCTATCTTTTGCTGCATTAAATACTTCAGATATTTGGCCAAAATACAGAAGTGACACACTCTAGAAACATTCACAGCTGCAAGAGCAATAAAACCACTACAGTATTTTCATTAGACTGACCTTTTCTCAGAAGAAGTTACAAGATGTTTAGAATTGATCACCTTTCTACACAGCATTCAATGTATTCTGATAACAAAACAGAGTGACTGGAGATCATGTTCTTGGGCTCCTGAAAGCCGTGGCTTACCTGGCTCCACTTCATGCCATCCACTTGACTGGCTGCCACTTCCTGGAGAGCGCCCTTGGCTTGTATAAAACGGCTCCTCACCAGGACTGTCCATCTCATCCTCCACAGACTTGAGACGTTTTGTAGAGCTGAGAAAGGAAAAAGACATAATAAGTACTACACGTATGGAAAGGAACAAAGGCACCTCTGTTGGGACATATCTTGCCAGCCCTGCTTGAGACTGACTTGGTTATGGACACCACAACAGATGTAGGGCCCTGAGAAGGGGAAGGTGCCAGTTCTGCACAGCCACGCTGCCCATCCAGCCTCTCAGCATCCGCTTTTTGTTTCTGATTTCCTTCATTGCCAGTGACTAAACTTCAGTGAGATACACGACAACCTCTCACAGAGTCCAGACTGAACCCCTAAACAGGCATTAGTTTAACTAGAAGATAGTTTAGCATTTAGGCTTTTATAGATCAGAAAGTAGGACATTTTTCAAAGCACACAGAGGTCAATGAAAAGGATAGAATTTAATTTGTATTGCATGATTTTTGCAATTTGAATGAATACGGTGATGACACCCAAGACTTATTTTAACTGTCAGATTTTTCCACAGCTTATTCAGAAAGACACATGGTTTATCAGTTCAAACTTATATCTTCAATCTTTTAACCACAGCCATTAAATTAACCCAGACTTCAGTCCCATAAGAAGTGTAGACAAGTGAATGATGGAAGAACCCATTCTTGGTTCAAATGTTCACATTATTGTACGAGTATAAGCATTTTTACTCTGCAACTGTATGCCACCAAGCATAAAAAGCTCCCAACAGCTATCTCTGGCCAGTGTTAGTACTAAAGGATTCCCCTGTGATACATCACATCTCCCTCGCCAAAGGCTCGGGAGACAGAAGAACCCTTTCAGTGGTCTCTGGTGGCCCGTGACTCAGACTCCAGTAGTTCTGCAGGGAGAGGATCCCACAGCCAAAGACACTTAGCTTGGCTCTATTTTCTGTAATGAGTTGTACAGACTGCGTGGGGACGTTACCGAGAATTTCTCTTCTAAGTACTTTTCCAAGGCTGGGTCAGCTCACTTTTTTCACCAAATCTGTATTCTATTAAGACTTTAAGCATTCAAGAACAGGCTCCTCTGTGTAGGGGGAACATATTTAACAGACATAAAATATTCCACTGTGATTTCTATTGGTTTAAAACTTGCAGCCTCTCCGCAGCTCCCCACCCGAAGCTCTGCACAGGTAGGAGCTGGTGCGTATGCAAAATCAGTTTGTGAGAAACAGGAAGAATAATTCTTGCGGTATGCGTGGAATGCAGGTTTGGCCATTCCTTAATTTAGAGAATTGTTATGTGTCAATAGGGGAAATTGTGTGCATACAATATAATTACCGCCTGATAATTCTGCTGAGTCTGTGTATTTAAGGAATATTTTTTTTTCTGACTGGGAACAGCCTAATGAGAGGAAAACAAACATATTACCAAGTTATTAACTACCCATGCTGTTTATAATTAGCTCCTTATCAGTGGTAGCTATTTGCAGAAGAATAGAAGAGCAACAACTGAGCTCTTAACTAACATTAATAACCTCACTTTTTTGCTTCTGGAGTCACAACTAAATTCTACCTGAGAATGGTGCTAATGATGAGCACTGTAGGGTACACAGTTTACACGCAAAAAAGAAAGAGCACGAAGTTTTTAATTGATGTGTAATGGGAATTGTAGTCACTGAGCTTCATAATGTGCACACTAAGTGCAAGATGTAGAATGTTCTTCCAATCACTGCAAACTGTAAGAAGTTATTGCTAAGAGCCTCTCTTCAAAGATATATATTTTTTTAAATAAAAACAACAGCTATATTCAAACTACAGAGACTTTTTACATGCGTACTTGCTTACTGCAAAGCTGGTGGCACTGCAGACTGAGATAAAAACGTAAAAGAACCCTGTGCTGAAGTTAGACTTTCTTGTCATGTCTTTGAAATAAGTGATCTATTTTGGCTGTGGGGGAAAAAAAAATCAATCTGGTTCCTTAATAGTGTTCAAGACTACTAGAGTGACTGGGCTTGTTTATAAATCTAATCTCATGGGTGGTTAAAGTGAAAGGTAAAAAATAAAAAATATCCTTGTTTGATAGTTGACATCTAAGCCGACATCAAAATCAGACTGGGTAGTCATCTGCATTAACAATTGAGTTTTCTAAAGGCTGAGTCACAAATTTGTACATGCTATATCAAAACTAGAATGCATAACAGGCCAAGGTCCTAAAGTGATGTTAGTCTCACAGATAACGCTTGTTATGATAAAGAATGCATATATGTCTATTTTAAGATTTTTCTGCTAGGACAAAGTGGCACATCTCAATATGGTCCCAATTCTCTTCTGCCACAAGTGAAACTCCAGCAATTCCAGTGGAACTTCTCCTGATACACCGAGATACAAGCCAGAAGTTATACAAATCAATGCAGCGGTTTTTCTTCAAAGCTTGTATGCGTAAAAAGAACTTTAACAGCAATCCAGTTCAACATTCAGCTCTATGGATCTGAAACAGCTCCACATCTTGAGGCCCCCAAACAGCCTTGTCAAAGAATTTAATGGTTACTTTCCCAGATGAGTAATGATGCTGGCCTGGGTTTCCCAGTAACTTGGTATTAGGCAGAGATTAAATTACCTGGTAGAGGATGTGCTAGGTAAAGACCTCCTCATCGCTCCTGGGCTCATGCTGTAGTATGAAGAACTTTCCAAATCTGAGAGGGAGAAATTAGGGCCTGTTCCTGCAGCTATCGGTGCTGGGGAAACAAAAGAGATTGCAGTCAGTAAGTCATGTGAATAAGGCACGAATTGCACTTCAAAATCACTTTCTTTGTCCTCATGAGTGTGTTTAGTTCCACAATGAGAACAGGTGGGATGTGGAAATTAGGAAATGCTAATGGTAACTGGCATTGTAATCAAGAAGATGTAAATTTTATCAAGAATACAACGTTCCATGACATAGACTCTTTCTTACATTCCTCCAAAGGTATTCTTTTAAAAAAAAATAATTAAACAATTATGGCAAGACTTCCTTTAAACACTGCTTTTCTGTTAATATCTTTCTAACATTTAATGAAACTTGTTGCTTTCGCTTGTAGGACAACACTGCATTTATTGGCACAGTTACAAACAGGCTGCACCATCCCTGTAGTGTGTCTGGCATAATCTATAAGCAGCACGGGCATGGAAATACACACCTCGGGACCTTCGGTATATACGTGATGTACATCCACAAGCACAGAGGTTACAAGTGCTCCTTGGAGAAAGCACAAAAGCAGATGAGAAACCTCAGTTCCTTTCTGCCTGCGAGCATCTGAGTTTTCCTCTGGCCTCTCCTCCAGCTAAATCAGAGCTAGAGACATATGACTCTCAAAAACTTTTATCCAGCAGTTGGCTTCCACTGTTCACCTCCCACTACCTTCCCCAGCACCTAAGTTTCATTGTAAGGGGTATAAATACCTTTAATTTCCCTGTCCTCGAGCCTCGGCTTTACATTAAAACGTTATGAATTCCTACACACTCTGAAGTTTGCAGGCACAAGGCTATGAACTCCATGTGCCGCATTCTTCTGGGAACAGAAAAGGAATGGAGCAGTTTAACGTTAAAGTTAACAGATAATGCATTTCACAAAAAAACGCCACTATACGGCAAACGGTACCATAGCCACTGTTGCTGTTCCAGTGCTATTTACAGGACAATACAACTTTGGGAGCTGACAATTACAGATCATGATTTTCTCCCACATTTCAGAGACATCTGAAAAAGGACGTACAGCACAATAAAAGGCGCAAGCTTGGCCTGGAATGTATTGTCTGAGAGCCCCGATTCACAGCAACAAAGGCGAAGCAGTCTCAATGCCACACAAGGATGCCGAGCCAAGTTTAATCTTTGGTCTGAGAATCTGGCCCATTTTCAGACATGAAAAAATCTTTCACCCCGATGGGGCAGGAGTGAGGAAATGAAGACAGGATAGCTGCTATCACCCAGCTAACATGTCTGGGCTGAAACGCAGGCTTCTGGGAGTGCTGCCATTGACTGTAATGGGGCCAGTATTTCACCCCAAGTCTTAAGGAGCTCACAATGTCAGATTTGACAGAGGAATAATGTAGCTTTGCAGCTGCCTCATCATCCCCACAAGACAATTAGTTGTTGTTTGGCAAGGATCTTTTAAGAACGTCATTGAGACAGAAAGGGAACGGCCTGGATAGCCGGGGACTTTTAAAAGCATGGGACGGAAAATACACAACGCCATTAAAACTTGAGAAAATCTGGAATGATCATTAAAAGGAACGAAGTTGGGAAGTAATTTATGACAAGAACACTCAAAACCTTTGTTATCTTCTCTTAACTATCATACGCTTCCTGCACACTGGGTATATGAGAGGGTGTGTTAACAGAAAGAAAGAAAAATTAAGCCTAGTAAAATTAACTCGTTTTATCAATTTGTGCTCTCTGCAACAGTTTCCTGACAGCAGCTACAAGAGGCTGTAAAACTGATGAATTTGCATGGAAAAAGAAACCGGTGTAAGTAATTTGTGTAAAAGGTAACACGGACATGGACTGCTATAATTCAGACACCCTGCAGATAGCAGACTGCTGCAGTGTGAGCAGTTATGGGTTAGAAAAATGACCACACTGCAGTCAGTCTGACTTGAATGGAAATCAATCATAAAGGTACTCTCTGCAGCATCTACTCCACAGTTTTCAGCAACTTCCTTGCCAAACAGATTTGTGCTCTGTAAACCCTTTGCTGATCAATTCCTCCGCTCCCTCTACCTACCAAAGCCTCACTTACAGGTTAAGCATACTATTTCCCAAACGGGAACCGAATAAGGCAAGCACTAAATTAAAGCACCGTTTCTTTCTGAGGCACGATGAATTTCCTAGGCGTTGCAAGATTTATGAAACAGTTTTATTCCAAATAGATACGGAAGAAAAACTGGTATGTAGATAACGCTTCTCTTCTCACCCCCCCCCTGTTTATCGCTGTCTCCCCAAATTCTGGACATTTCTGTTCCAACCCTTGAATTAACCCTATAGGAAAATGAAGTGTATCTCCAGAGCAGGGGTGGGGTAGGAACAACGCACTGCTAACAACGCGTTGCTAACGCTGTGTAAACTCAGCACAAAGTAGAAAGGGCTAATCACAGAGAAATTTCTGCCGGGGCAGCAAACACGAAGGAAGCTTTGGTTGTTACAGGCTGAACCACCTCACCACACTCAAGAGCCCATGTACATCCTGAGGGTTAAACAATGAAACCCACCTCTGACACACACCAACAGACGTAAGCAGAGGAGGTTAAAGTGCCCCGCTGGCCTGTGGCAGCCCGAAACCCCTTGGCAGCCCTTACACACCGGCCACGGTTGTGCCACAACCAGCTCAAGTGCTGTGGCAAACATTGCACAGGGCTAAGCTGCTCTGAAGTCCCTTCTCCTGCCTGCCCGACAGGAACGAATTGATTGCCTGTCTTTCAGCAAAGGGTATTTCTACCTTTGCTCGCAGCTACCCCCATTACTACCATCAAACACAGCAACGAGCTGACTGTAGAGCCCACCCTGAGACTGTCTTGGAAGAGGTTAATGTTTTTCATCCGCATGGCGGAAAGTCGCTTCCTCTTCCTGGCTGGAATTGGGTTGAAGCCCTGTGTGCTTTCTGTCTCTGCTTCAGCCCCGGCAGAGCGGTGCGACACCCCGCACCTCCTGTGCTGGGAGCTCGCTGCCGGGCATCTGCCTCCTCACGGCTCTTCTATGGTGCAACTGGCCACCAGAGCGGGCACGGTGCAGCTAGCCCAGCCAGGAGGCACCCGAGCCTGCCCCAAATGGCTTTTCACACTGCCTTTGTGGACTGTCCACCTCGCACGGGCCCAGAAAGCTGATGGCAAGGGAACACTTGCATTTATTTGCAAGGTTCCCCGCAAAGGCGGCAGCTCTGGAGAATAAGCAAAGGGATCAAAGTGGTGCAAACTGTGGCAAAACTCTGTCTAAATTAAACCTCTTTGTTGTAGAATCATAGAATGGTTCTGGTTGGAAGGGACCGTAAAGCTCATCCAGTTCCACCCCCCTGCCCTGGGCAGGGACACCTCCCACCAGCCCAGATTGCTCCAAGCCCCGTCCAACCTGGCCTTGAACACCTCCAGGGATGGGGCAGCCACAGCTTCTCTGGACAACCTTTTCCAGTGTCTCACCACCCTCAGAGTAAAGAATTTCTTCCTGATATTTATTCTAAATCTCCCCTCTTTGTTTGAAGCCATTCCCCCTTGTCCTACCACTACATGCCCTTGTAACAAGTCTCTCTCCACCTTTCTTGTAGGCCCCTTTCAGATACTGGAAAGTTGCTATAACGTCTTCTCTTCTTCAGGCTGAACAACCCCAACTCTCTCAGCCTCTGACAATCCACCACACAACTCCCCTACACCCCTGTTCCTCTGCCCCGGGAACACGCTCTGGCCCCACATGAAGCAGCAGCGTGGTTGGGAAGCTCCTCTCCAGCACCGCCGGCTGTTACACGCTGCAGCCTGCAGAAACTCCGGGCACCGACATTAAAAACACTCCAATTCTCCCCCAACCCCCAGCTAAGAGATGTTCTGCAGCAAAGTGACCTTCTGATAGCTCAGGAACATCTCCCAAACAGGAAAGGATGTCAGAAATTGCAGTTGCGAGTCAAAACAATAGTCTCCGCTTATGTGCCGGCATCGAGATGTCACCTGACGCAGGGCTCTGAGCTGACGGGGGGCGAGGAGGAAGGACCCCCTGCCCCTAACACACATCCCGCTGATGTGCGCAGCAACATGTGTAAGCAAGAGAACTGATGCTGGCCTCAGCTCCCGTTTCAGCCGCTGGCATCACAAAACAATCCCTGCGCAGACGGGACATGTTTCGCTCGCCCTGAGGGGCAGGAGGAACTAGTTTACTCAAAAGGAGGAGGAGGAAGAGGAGGAGAAGGAGGAAGGTGGGTGCCTCTGCCCGAGCACCAGCGCTGAGCTGCTCTCCGGGACACAGGGCAGCATCGCCCCTGCTGCCAGCCTGTTCCCTCCGCTGCCAGCTTGTTAGCTCAGATCCTCACCCGAAATGTCAAGAAAAATAACAGAGAAATTAACAAAAAGCCCTCTGACTTAACCCAATTGGAATATTTATTTTGAAAAATTTATTGAATTACAGAACAGGAAACCCACTAAATAAAACCAGTCAGGCTGGCATTTGTCTTCCTTGGAATATGGCACTCTCTTTCAGTCATGTTAATATTTAGTTTCTCTTTATTTCATTTGTATGTATTTATTTTTGCAAAGGGGCTAGGATGTGACTAAGATCATTACATGTGTAACACTGCAGCAAAGTGATAATGTGTTTAAGGTTAAATGGGAGAAACATGACATTTGACTAATAAACTTTTTCCTGTGTTGTGACTCCATAAACAAAGGGAAACACACGGCAGTGCTGCCGCTGCCGAGAGGAAAGGGGAGCTGGATGGTTTTTTTATTTGCAAGGCCTTTGTTTCCTATACACTGTATCTTTAGATTCAAAGAGCTTTTGCCGAATACAACAGATATGAAATGTGTGATGTTCATTTTAAAATTACAAGTACAGCCTGCTATTGACCATCTAATTATGCTGAGTTCCATTTATAAACATAGCTAACCACTAAGTTTATAGAGACTTTTTGTGCTGCTTTAATAGGATATTGATCGAGAGCAAGGTTTGAGTGGACTGCCATTGAATTGTGTAATGGCATACAAAAGGCAAGGTCACGGCAACTGTTCACTCTTTGCCTGCAGTCTATTTTTTATTATATTCTTTTTTTCTTCCTCTCATACCCAAGCCCAAACAGTGTGTTTTGGATAGCAGTGCTTTACTGAGAAATACAGAGTATCTTTTTAAATGTTAATTTTCATGCTGCTGACTTTAACTACCTTCACTACTGTAATGCTTAGTATAGCAGAAAACATACAGGCTGCTGTTTAGAGAGACCTGTTTTATTATACCCCGTCTTTCACACACGTGCTCTGCGTGGAGGAGAGCCTCTTCTCCTCTCCTGGACCGCGAGAAGGCAGCAGCATCCTCCCCAGACCCACCACAGCACCCGGGGCACCCCGTGCCTCGCCAGAGGCATCCAGTACGTGCTGGGGCTGGCAGGACTCGCCCTGCAGTTTGTTTTCGGCTGTACCTGGCCGCCGGATGAAAGGCGTGAGGAAGCTGTGTTTCCTCCGTCGCACCCACGCTCCGTGCCTGGAGCGGCGGCAATTACTTTCATTTCTAGCGCTCATCCGCCTGCTGCCTCGCGGCAAGGACAGCCTCTTCCCCGGCCTCCACGGCTAAAGCAGCCGCGACCCAAGCCCGGCACCCGCCCCATCCAGCAGCCTCCGTGTTGCAGGATCCCGAACTTTGGCCACAAAAGCACCTCTTACCTGTGGAATTAGTGTAACTGTTTGAGGGATAATTAGCCGGACCACTTCTGTGTTTATACAGGAGCGGTAAGCAACAGCATGTACGCTTGTGTGCTTGTGGTTTCACCGGCTCATTAGAAGGATTAAAAGTCACCCCACTTGCTCCGTACAGCTCCTTCCCGCACAGAGCTAACGTCTTAAAACTCAAAGTGTGGCATTTTCAGTCCAGGGCGCAGTCAGAATTCCCTTGTTTATCAGCATGAAGAATGATGTCATTTTGACAAATAACACAGCACAAAACAAATATGTTTGATTTGGCTCTGGCAAATGTTCATAAATCCTAAATCTTTCTTCACATCCTGGGCAGTGCAGTTTATCTGGCTGCTTGAAGGACCTCCAAGGGAGGAGATCTTCCCAGCAGCTCTCCGCACAAGAGCACATGGTGCGGACTCAAAGCCAAGAGGCGAAGAGCGTTCCCCATGCCTCTCTCCCTGCTCCAGCCCGCCGTGGCCTCCCAGCCTCTGCCAAGCGAACGGGACCCTACACTTGGCAGTGGTTTGGCACCACAGCCACCCCTCTGCCGGCACCTTCTCCAGAAGGTATCCTCCAGTGCCCTGCAGATAGCTGCACACAGCGAGCGGAATATTTTCCTAACAAGGGTAGGGAGGGAGAAGGTTTTGCTTTGCCAACAGCTGGCTGTCAGTTCACCAAACTTGTGCATCTCCAACGCTTCTGCTTCTGAGCTTTTTGTTGTCAGCCCAAACCTCTCAAGAGACGGAAGAATGAAGTCTCTCTTATCTGAAGGGGTGTCCCCAGTATCTGGGGTGGCAGACAACGCTTAGAATGGAGCTCACACCCTTCGCCTGCTAATAACGTGGAGCTGACAGCGTGGTCTGCAACATCCACATCAGATGGGGTGGAGGGGGAACTATCTGTTTTTCAGATGAACATTTATGATCGACTTTATTTTGCTAGGCTTTGCAAGATTCAGTAGCTGGGTAGCATTTCGAAAGAAACTCTGCACCCATGGGACTGAAGAAAGCAAGTTTCTGTTACCAAAACAGTCTAGACTTGTTCAATAGCTCACAGAAACTGTGATGATCAGCACTGATAGGCAAGATAGATAATGGTAACAGCTGACCTTTTGCTTGCTTAATTCATTCCCCAAATTTGCATGACAGAGACAACTGCCTATTACTTGAGACTCCTTGTCATGTGGACCTCTGGGAACTTCACTAAATAAACCTGGTACATAATTGCTACCAACAGTATTTCATAAAAGTAATTTTAGATAACAGCAGCAAAGCGCAGGTCAGTTAAAACTGTGGGAAATCACTTATTTCTATCATCATATTATCAAAAGCACACACGGAAAGAAACATGATAATGGGCATAGACAAAGATGATACCTCTCTGTAAAGCCAACACAGACCCCACTCAGGAAGAGAGCAGAGACTAAACATGAGGGCCCGCTATGGATAGGCAGGCTTGGTCCTTCCCCAGCCACGGTGGCTTCTGAAGGAGCAATGACTTTTTAGAAAGTAAAAACAAGAGAACGGACTGAGGAGGCTTTGATTACTCAAGCTACAGACTGTTAATAGCTGCTGGTGGGTCTGGATGATGGCTGTTCATAAGCTGAGCTCCCCAGAATGAAAGCAACCCGTGGACTGGTCTCAAATCCAGACACGGGAATATGCAGACAACCCAGCAAGGGTTATATGGAAAAAGCACACTCTTTAAAAGACCTTGCCTGCCAATTTAGGCAAATACGCAGCAATTACTTTGTTGCTCTGTTATGCTAAATAATTCTTTTAATATGAGCATGCGAATTCATAGTGACTTTCGCTGGGAATTTGTTGCTAGACTCTACACTAAACATATCCTACTGGGTAGCCACGGCATGTCAGGCTGTGGGCTTCTCAGACCTCACAAAGTAAACAAGGTTACGGCTGGTCAGAACATGTCTGGGGCATCTCCAAGGAAAATCCAGGGTGCTATCAAAAGCAGTGTAGCTAAATCAGTTGCTGGCACTCTTCCCTCTGAGTCAGTTCTGAAGTGATATCCCGATATGCTTTGGGGACACTATTTTTGGTAGAGGTGCTGGCTTGTAGACAGGATATAAAACTGAGGTCCCGACCTCCCAGGATTATTAAAGAGCTCATGAAAAAGAGTGCAAACCCCTGTGTCTGGAACAGATAAAAGCTGAGTCTTTTTATTTTGCCCACCAACACCTCCTTCCTTACTTCCGATAAAGTTCATTCCTGTTCTGCTCCTCCTGCGTGGAGGTGCCCTGCCCTTGGAGGGGGAGCGTTTCAGCAGCAAGCAGAGGGAATGTCTTGGCCGCAGTTCCTAGCTTGCAAAGCATACTGAACACTAGCATTTCTGATACACAAAGTTTTACTTTAGTTACAATAAAATATAATGGAAGATTAAGAGACATGAAACGCGACGCTCATGAGGTCAATGCCAAACTCTCAGGGAGGCTGAGACTGGGGCTGGCTGTGAAGGCTGAAGTCCTGACCAGGGGCACTTTTCTAGCAGCCCTGTCCTGTGCACGCATGAAGCACGGCTGACAGAGTCCAGAGGCAGTTCTGCTGTGTAGGGCTCCTACAGTGAAGATAAGATTGTGGTGAAGTGGGATGCCTTGCAGAGGGGGAGGGTGAATCCTGTGGGCTTCAAAAGCCTTACGCTGTCACGCTGAAATAAAGCGACATAACACGGAGACGTTCAAAGACCGGTGATAACTTGGTTTTGTCCACTGTGCTGCAGGTACCAGCAAGTTAGCATACACAGTACAGTGAGTTAGATGTCAAAGTCCCTATTTAAGCACTTCAGTAAGTGAACTGATTTGCAAATGTGCCGAGTGCTCAGCAGCTCCTCTTGACTTCTAAGTCCTCCTAACTTTGTCCTTCTCACAAACTTCCCACCATTTATCAGGGAAGAAAACTCAGGAGAAATGTCCGCCTTAAACTTTTTCTCCCTCTGTCTCTCTCTCCAGCACATGTAACTCTGACATTCATGTTTCTCCCACTTGCCACGCTTTCCTTGTAGCATCCTATTTTTTAATATAAAGCTGATTTACTAGCTCGCACAAGTCTTTACAAAAGAGAAAATAAACCAGAACAATCCTTACAGAAACTCTGTCTTCTGACTCAAACCCACAGATTCTCTGCTAGGTTTGTGCCAGTTAGATTCCAGCCCCAGAAGGACTTAAACTACATGCTCAGAGCCAATACATAAACAAATATTCCTGCTATCTAGGAGGAGAACCATTTTTATCACTGGCTGTGCTAAAGAGGTTGGTTGCAAACCCCAAGGTTTTGTAGCTGAGTGGTTCACCTGGAGCAGTGGTAATTGGTGACAAAGTGATGCTACTGCAGAGCTCCACACTAGCTGCAGAGAAGATCCCCAAAGGACTAGTACCTATGGCCTGGCTCACCTGGCTCACTCACTCACGAGAGTGTCCATACGCTCTCCTTGGACTATCTGGATTATGTCATAGCAAAATACAATCAATGCACCTCTGATCAATGGAACAGGGTGGTGACAGGTACTCTTAATTCACTGTTGTTAGTGAGTATTGACAAGCCTGTAATGATCATGCTGCAGTGTGTCACTCATGCTGGGGGCATTAGCATTCTTTAAAGGTCAAAAAACAAATCCTTCTAGAAGACAGGATTCCATACAGTTAATGGAAAATGCGGGCCTTGCGAAGTCAAGTTGTATGTGCCTCTGCGCAACTGAGATTACCAGAGCTGAGGCTGGTACAGTTGTTGGCATTATTAACGAGTTCATTAATTTCCAGGTGTACAAACACATGTGCGCATGGCAGGGATGAACACAACATGCAAGAAAATTTCCAGGCTTATGTGCACAGATCATGTCATTTCTAGAGCTCCAATTAAAACACAGCCCTTGGATCCTGCAAGGGATCCACCGGATAAGCTGATCTTTGTAGGCATTTATCTGCACTCTGATACAGAGTCTGCCCGTTTTCAGCTGGGTACTGGATGAGCTTATCACCTTGCACATGCAAGTTTGCAGAAATACATTTTTTTTTATTTACTTTTAAAAATTACACTGTTTTATTTTCTCACATTAAAAAATGTGGCACATAAACACTGGCGAGAAACGGCCAGAAGAGACTCAATTTTCAAGATGCTGTTTCTAAATTGGGGAAGGGGCACGATAAGAATCAAAGAAAAAAAAAACCTGGGATTGCAGAAACCACATAAACTGACCACAAAATGATACTTACTTTGTGAGACTCTTACTAGCTCAGTCACACTGAAAACACCTGATGTGACAAAACTGTCCTGGAAGCCCAAATGTCCTACAAAACAAACAGAGTGAGAGAACTGCGATTAACTTTAAGCATTTAATGACAGTATTCTCAAATACTTTACTTTCATTTAGACTTAAAATGTGACATCTAATTTCCCACTTAGCAGTAATTATTGTTTATGTAGGTGGGTAACTAGTCATACAGCTATGTAGGCTGCTTTGTGGTTTCTATCTAGGGGTTAGGAAAGCTAACATGACACATCAGCAGGGAGATTTTTACATGTTAAAGCATCTCAACAGGAAATCTGAAACAAAAGAGGACTATTTTAATAAACGGTTACCTTGGATGACCCCTAATGACTTCACAATTGAAATGAAAATACTGTACCTAGGAAACAGACAGGACAGCTAAGTTCCATAATCGTTTTAAACATTATTCTCTAAAGAAACATCTGATCAGGATTATCTACCCATTCATTCAAACAAAACAAGATTTAAAGATGTACTCTTCATTTTCTAAGGTTACACTGGGGAAATCTTAAAATAGCAGCTGGTTAAAAAAAATTAAATTAAAGCCTTTCCCCCCCACACACACAAAAAAAATCCCTAACATTTAAAACTAGTTTTCAAAAAGAAAAATAAATCTCTGCATAAGAAAAGTATTAACTTTGAGCTTTGGACCATCTTTAGGAACCAGGGCATACGCTTCCACACTTGCGTCCCTTGTGCAAGGAATGCCTCTACACTTGGTATCAAAATGTTATTACACTTTACATAACAGTATTTTCCTTCTTCTCTGAAAACATGCCTACCACCAAATGTTCATTTAATTTTCACGGGTATGATCAATTACAAAAGGAGCAGCTTTCGGGCTGCAACCCAGTGCGAGTGTGCGGAGTGGGATACAGCAGTTCACGCGGGACGTTATCTGGACTTCAATTAGAGGTCTGTGGTTAGTCGGCCAGACTGACCTCCTGCTTTTGAAATCAGGGTCAAAGGAGAAATCTCAGGATAAAGAGATTATTAAAAGAACTGTAAAGTCCTACTTGTCCACAGGATAAGTGGCATACCTTTTTAGGTTGTCCTACTTAGAGTTACTGATTCCAGTGCACGCACACATATATTATTGAATGTTTTGCAGGGGCACCATCTGCTCCGTTGTTAATTGTTTGTCAGATTCAGTACGATTTCCCTACGTTTAGTATATTCTACCGTACCCTGTGCTCATTGTGGCAATACCTGTGCACTTTCCTATAGTGACCGGAGCCATAGTACTAATGCAAGCTGCAGATCTGTTCTCCTGTCTGTCTTTTGCGGTCGTTTAAAAACCCCAACATATCCCATTGCCATTTCTACCTGCAGAATGGGAATTAAAAGAAATACATCTCGTGTGCAGGACCACAGAGGTTGACATGTCAGGGAACGTGTCAGGAAAAGGTTTGGGAGAGATCTGGAGGGAGGTCAGCCATTCACCTCCAGCCAAGTCCTCAGCGAATTCTGTTCTTGCACAGAACTTCCCTGTTTCTGTGAGGATCCTACGGTGCCAGATGAACGCAGTCGCTAAGCTAACAGACTTGAGACAAGTTTCTACATCAGTCATGTTTTTATACTTCAGCAATAATGATGAGTTTTCAAACTGTGTATATGTATATCTTTGGGCATCCTTGTGTATGTGTGTATACATATGTATTATGTACACAAACATATAAATATACACAAATCTGTCATGCTCCAGCTGTAGATAAATGTACTATAAAATATTGAAATTGATGCTGAAATTCAACACAAACAAATTCCTCAATCTGCAAACAAGGTTTTTATTTACACCAAGAGAATAAATTTTTCTCTACTTTAAATGAAAAAATGTTCTCACAAGCTTTTATTTTTCCTTATTTTCAACTTAGAAATAGCTCTCGGATAATTGTAAATGCTTTTGCCTGATCTGCTTTGTATTTTACCATAATAAAGGTGATGACTACATCATTCTGCTTTTTAGAAATGGTTGCTGGCCATACACAATGTTTGTTCATTGACAATTTCCCAAGTATTTTTAATATGAAGATCTACTTTTCATATGCTGCAGCAGACCTGCCTATTGAATTAAATGATCTGTGAATTAAAAATAATTCTCTTAGGTCTTCACTGAAACCACTCATGTGCCTAAAATTAAGCATATGCTTAAGTGCCTTGCTGGATCAGGGCCAGGACGCTTACTACTCCACAGAGCCCTTCGTAGGGAAGCCAGTCTATGCTATATAACTTCTCATACTGTGCTCATCATGGCAGTATCTGAGCAACTTCCAGAAGTGCATTCAGCGATGCTACCAGCATCTGTCACGTGTTGGTTTTCCACAGCGCACCATACCGGCTCTGCTCCGGTGTCCACTTCCACCTGCATTTCCCCAGCAGGTTCCTATCGCACTAAGAGTGAAGGCGAAATTTAAATACGGAAGTAAAAAACAAATCACAGCTACGGTAGGACATTTGGCTGAGTTTTTAAGGGGAAGTCTAGAGCCTTTTATAATCATCCAAAAACCTGTGATTATCGCATGGCTAACCATGTTACCTCAACCTAGCAAACACAGGTAAAACCAGAAATGAAAATGCCGTAGAATGGTTTTAAATACATTCTAGCTCTCACAGTCCTACAGGGCATAAGAAAAGTTGAGCAAGTTAGCTTGGGCCTGCTAACTTCATGATTCTGATTTTGCTGGGTATACCCAAAATGCACACTTACTTCTGTAGGAACGTTTCTTATGTGTGTACATGTAATAGTAATCATTAAACAACGGCACGCAATAAGAGCGATTAGATTTTCATCCTTCAATACTGAAAATAAACATTTCACAAACGACAGGTGAATTTCACAATTTTCCAATTTGTTATTTACTTATGAACGTTAGGAAATCAGGGGCTCGTCTCGCCAATCATTAATAATATCTTGATACCCACAAAAGCAATGCCCTTGGCTTAGAGATGTATCTTGAACTCACTCGATGCACGGTTGGTCTGTGAATTCGCAGTTCAGTAGGACTCCATGAAACTTTAAAGGTTTGCCTGGATGGATTGCAAAATCCAGGCCTAAAACTGTCGTTTTTGCTGAACTGTGATAACAGTGCAACAAGAGAACGAGAGAAACGGGACAAAAAAGCTAGACGTGTAAAAGAAGAATGACTGGGAAATAGCAGGATTGACAAAATATGCAAAATAAACATTTTGCACCTATTAACAGGGGTCAAAATGCAAAAGTATATCAATTTGGTTGTTCCACTTAATTCTGAATGAGAAAAAAATAGGTGAAGTCAAGCAATTACATATGCAGATGTTAGCATTAACGAGCTCCTTTACTGAAAAGATAATTAAACATCTTGAAAGCTTGCAAGATTTACTTTTCATACGGCACTTTACAGAAATATATGTGCACTGTGATACTTTTGCTAAATATCCCAAAGATAGGACATAGAAATTGCTGTGTATGATCAGGTTATCTCTGCAGTTTTGTGCAACAGTCACATTTTGGTAGTAAAGCAGGTGTTGAAAATGAGGATGAGAGACTTTTTACTCACTTTATAAAAAACTAACAGAGCTCATTCACTGAAGTTCTGAGTATAAATTAAGACACCTGGCTAGCCAAGGCAGGCCCTGACTCAGCAAAGCAGTTAGAGCTTCATTTTCATCACATGCTTGACTACAGCACATGCTTATTTGCCCTGCCAAATAAAGATGGGCTGACAAAGTTAAGCAGGTATTTAAATATATTGTTAAATCATTGCCTTCAACCCAAGTCTACGTCCAGCCAGGAGTTAGCTCATTACAGAAGACCTCACTTTGGTTCACAAAGATGATCGTTTTCCCCCTCAAGGCAGAAAAAAAATCAGGGTAAGACCAAACTGAACAAAGCAAATCGGGATACTAGCTAATAAATAATATGCCATTACCTAATCAAACATTTGGTATAGCGTACAAACACGATGCAACACTATCATAACAAGTACCACATGAAAAACATCTTTCCATAACATGATGACTGCTTTAACTGGGGAGAAAATTCATAATGCAATTTACATATTCTTCTTTTAGACCTCAGTAAAGAAGCCAGAAGAAAAGGCTTGAATTGCTGGAGCCTAATTCTGATCTCAAAGCAGTTTTAAACAAGTCTTTCTACACTGATCAAATAGAGTTTCACCTAATTTTCTCCTAATTTACACTGGCAGAGGAGAAATCAGGATTAGGACTTGTTGTCTAATGCTATTTGTTTTGAATTATTAAGCAAACATTCCTATTTCAATGAGTAAACGTGTACAAAGGCAACTAACCTTCGTCCTAAAATCTAGTTTACAGGGAGAGTATTGTCTGCTTTCCCAATTAATGCTGTAAAAAGGAGTCTCAAACATTGAGCTACCAATCAAGAGCTTGTGTTGTAGCTTGAGAAAATCGTGACTGATGCAATTACTTTTATGTAGAAAGTCTGAATATGGTCTATAGGTTAAAGTTCATCGGGTTATTGTTCCTTAATTGAATATCAGAAGATGTTTTCAAGGTGCTCAAGGTATTATTGTTATTTAATTAGCAGGCTTCCTTGTGTAAACCAACAGTATTATTTTTATTATAAAATAGTTAGACTGCACCATAAATATACAAGTTATTTTCTAAACAGAGATACAGCTGGTTTCCTGAAAACCAAGCTTAAATAAAAACGGGAAAGAGTTACTCCTTTGAAGACGAAAAAGTCCCAAGTCTGGTTATTTCTCTTCCACTACAGTCCGAGTGACAATGTATTAAGCTTTGGAGAAGAGCTTTTTGGGAGACTGATTCCTTTTCAGTGTTTTGAAATTACACAACTCCCCCAAACTAGCGCTGAAGGCATTTCTAAAGCCTTTTTCATGTTCAGCATCTCACTATACATAGCCATCTTAAACCCTTAAAATAGTAATAATCAATTAGGGTCTCAAGCCTATTATCTTAACCAAATGCCTGATTAAAAGAAAAGCCCTCTCTGCTCAAAGTGCAACTTGATTCCTTTGGGGTTTATCCTCTATCTAGATAATC